TTGTTTCAAGCAAAAAGAGACCATTTTTTTTAAAGAGACCGGGTTCTATACGCACTATACGAAAGCAGTATTTCACGCTGGTAATATATAAGGGAGTAGGCCTTCCCCGGTGGAACCAACCCATTCGTACTACAACCATAATATAGCTGCATGGCTCTACCACGTACAATGTACACATGAAACATTTTTATAATATAATAGTAGCAACAGAGAGACCTACGTGGAGAGTAGCAAAATTATCTTGACAGCAACGGGCGGCATGAAGTAAACATTACCTCTGGTTTCCAGTAGCTTTACTGTTATTGATTTTGGCGTCAGTCATAAAATGGTGACATATCAAGGCATCACACAAAGGTGACATCTACAAGAATTGTAACTGACTTGTTACATTTACATACCAAAACCAGCGACAGGACCTTAGGGCTTATAATGAATGTACGTCGTAAATAACCTCAAAAATTTGAAGATTCACTTTTTCACTTCAATCATAACTTATTACGAGGATTTTTCATTTGAAAGCAGCTTGCTTATTGTTTTTATTTTTGATTAGTAAATACGAGTAAATGAACCGTCGTACCTTAGGGCAATTAAGTCTTCCAAATTGACTATTGATTTTTTTATAGGATATGGTGACGAACGAGCCTTCCTCGATTACGAATCAAAATGCAGATGCGTTGTCACACGTGAAGACAGATTGAATGCCTCGTTGCCAGTAAAAAGTCTCCGGTTCTCTACACTCACCGTACGAAACACAACAGTATTTAGCTACTATTTGACGCTGGTATTCTGTGAGAGCGTGGTGCTTCCCTGGTGGAGCCGACCCATTCGTGCTACAACTATACAAAGTACAAATATAACTGCAGCATGGCTCTACCACGTATAAAATTGATTACTTCCTGTTAATCAAATTTCGATCATGGATCAATGGAGACTAACCATCAGCGCATGCTCAAGCACAGTGAATTCTCTATGCCCTTACTCTCATAATAATCCTATGGGACTGCAATCCGATACGACCGAAGAGATATCAAGCGCAGGTCCAACGGCTTTACGTAACTTCCTAGGCACGGGGGTAAAACACAGCCAACTTTAGACTTCAGGCTGTTACTGAGAGTTTCTTGACAGAAAAACCCAATAACTGATTTTGGCCCGACCCGGGATTCAAACGCTTGACCTCATGATCAGCAACCATGTTTCCGACCACTAAACTAACGAGGCAGTTAAAAATCCTATTGCTTCCTGTGATTATTCGCGAAGATTGTGGACAAATTGGTCGTTGTCTGAATCCTTAATTATATGACATGATTAAGCACGGAAAGACGGAATGCATTGCTATAAGCCGAAAGTGACTGTTGATCCAGTACTAGAACGAATAAAAGTATTTTATTTATTTGGCAATTAAGGTTAAGTCGGCTTTATACAATAAAATGAACTTTACTGTAGCAAGAAACGCTTTGGTATAGATCAGTGGTGGGCAAACCTTTTTAATGGCGGGCCACAAAGTTTAAGAAATTCTAGAGGGGGGGCCAGTATTATAGAAAAAATGCATTTTGTGTTAAACTCAATTATACGGGCTATATACTATCCATGTTGACAGAACCTCGGCGGGCCTGATTAAATACTTTCGCGGGCCGGAGTTGGCCCGGGGGCCGTACTTTGCCCATCACTGGTATATATAGTATGTTAGAATACTTGCGATCCATTCTGGCTTTGGACGGGTGATTTCTGGATCTTGCCAGCCAACAGCGACACCTACCGGTTTAATTGTTTATCTAAACCACTCAGAGACCCACTCAAACACACACAAAAAATTTCATCAAAATCAGTCCAGCTGTTAAGGAGGAGTTCAGTGACAAACACACGCACAGAAAAATTATGTATATTAAGGATTATGTATGGAGGAAATGTAGGGAATACCCGTTGACTACATAGATTATGTAGTCAGTGGGTATTCCCTTGATTCTTTTATTATTTATCATATTTATACATATCATAAGTATGGCAAACATTGACGTATGATACTTTATCCCGGATTAACAGCTATAATGTGTTTGTAGCAATAACAGGTTGGTGCGAACAGGGAAGAACCACGCTCCCATAGAATACCAGCGTAAAATAGCACTTTAATGTTGCTGTGTTTAATATTAGAGTTTAGAGACTGGAGATCCTAATTACTGAAAACGAGATATTCCATCAAACTCAGGGACACTAGACAACGCATCTACATTTTGATTTTAATCGAGGATAGATGTAGATGTCTATGGGCCACAGCATCCACTTACCTTCAGGTGTAATGTATGCTCGTAATCACAGTTATTCTGTTCAAAATATTATAAATTAAAACCTAACAGGAATTAAGACGTTAAAGCTTACCTAAAAAAATTAATATTATTAATTCCCTGTGTGCAATCACACATTGTACCGAAGTATGTTTACGTACTTACTTTAAGTTTAAAATTAATACAGGATAAGAAAGATACTTCCGTACACTGTGTGATTCCAAGTATTCGATTATAAAGCAATAACAATTTATAAGATTTGCTTTTCCTAATTGTAATTTTTTTATCCAGAGGTCTCATAAACCGATTTAAATATTTAAAACAAATAATATTATCGAATTACGTAGTAATAAAACCCGTAAAAAAACTTTTAGTGTGACTTGTAAGTAATTTATTTTATTACTTTAGGAAAAGACCATTTGCATTTTTGCCTTTTTTTCAATGAACAAAATGATTGTGTTCATTAAATGATGATGAATGAGCCAAAATTGAATACAAAAATATGAATTTTTGTGTTTCATGTTACTTAGAACTTTGTAGCATAAGGACTAACTTTATTTTTCATATAAGTTCCACAGTACGCGAGCAACCTAGATCAATCCCCGCCGGCACTAAAGAAATTGGTGCCAGTGGGGATTGCAAAAGGACAAACCTGCACGTCTAAAAAAATAAAAAATATTTTGAAGGCATGTAAAGGGTGAAAACATCGCGGTGGACATTTCCATAAAACTCTCAGAAACGATAGGTGGCCTGTGCACAGATACACAAAATTACAGCCTTTACACGTCCCTCAGCTTGGCACAGGTTACATATTATTTTTGTATTATTTTCAATAGTAACCTCATTCTTAAAATATATGTTAGACCCTAGACTTGGATAGTGTTTAACTACGGTAAACCAAAGTTCACATTTAACAATTACAGCTTATAGTAAAAATACTCGTCTAGAATCTGTCAAAGATTCGTAGCAATCGCAGAAACTTTAACTATATGTATTAAAGTGTTAAGTCAAAATCTATAGCGCTATTATATGTTTAAAATCCAAATAATTTTACAATAAATTATGAGTTATCACGGAGGGGGAATAATAGGGTTATTAACTAATACCACTAGGTCTTTGATCTTGGGTGTCACTCGTTTGCTCTTTAATTAGCTGCAAATCTTTTCGATTTTTTTTTTGTTTCGTCAAGAGCAATTGTCTCCAACTTTTTTTTCTTATCTTAAAGATTGTTATGGAATCTGTTCGGAAAATATGTTATAGAATAATAAGTATGTCATAAGAGTATTTAGAATATAATATTTGACAGACATTTATAGATGAAGACCCGGAGTTTTTAAAAACACTTCGAGTTTTTTTTTCCTAAGTTTTTGATATCTTCCAAAACGTATAATTAACACATTTTTACTAAATTTATTTAAAATAATTAATAAATATTATTTTAACTTAACTTAAGACTCCGAATGGTGGATCAAATTTACCTTAGTTTGCTTAGTAGCGTAAGTGTAAGTGACAGTAAAAATTGCAAGAGAAGTCATGGTCACCGATATATAATTTATATATATATATATATATATATATATATATATATATATATATATATTTTTTTCTTTTCAAAATTGACCGATTGAAAACACTATTAGAAAGTCAAGGAAGCTACGCCTTCTCTTCAACAAGAAACTCTCAAGTAGACTATATTTCTTCCAACAGTTACATTTTAACCTTGTACTGAGAAGTTTTTAATTTCTTTAAAAAACAGTGATTTTTATTAAGAAGTATCTAACAAAAAATATCGCTGTGTTGAAGCGACATATACACAGACATACACGCACGCATGTTCTTACGTACGCACGCACGCATACGCCTACGTACACGCTGCGTGCAATTATAAACCGATTAAAAAAAACTATCTCATAAAATTTTTAAGAAATTTTCTCTCTACGTCAAATAATCTTTGATTTTTCGCCCTTCCATGTCGAGAAGTATTGCAATATATAGCTTGAAAGTTGCGAGGTCGTTAAGTTAGTTTACATACACCACGGAGAAGTCACGTCGCACCGACACAGAATTAAACTAATTCTAAAGGTAAATTAAATATACATATAAGCAAGTGTCGAATAACTTGTATTTTTTTTATTTAATTAGTTATAGAATTTTTTAACGTTTAATGTAGATATACATAATAGAATTAAACTTTTATACACTTGCTAAACATAACAGTAATCATATCAAAATTTGAGTTGTTATGACATTAGTTGATTGTAGTCAAATAAAAATACAACAGGCAAAACGCATCATTTTTGTCCCTTTCGTATTTTTCGATGTTACTAAACTACAACCACGTATTATGTCAATTACACATTTCCTCTACAAGTTTTAAGAAATTTTCACAATTGATTTTGTAGTATTCAAAATACAAACAAATTCATGCCATTACGCAACTTTTTTTTTGGTTTATTTGGTTTACATATTTCTGCAATCACTCGCCGCATGTTTGCCGGTCTCGATCTTGATTACATCATTTCGCGTTTGAAAACCTGTCTTACATTTACAGCTTACAGCTTTGCACGATGTTAACAAACTGAAATACAAGAAAGGTTCACGACCCATTTTTAGGAAACGTTTGTTTTTGTGACATAGTTCATTAAAATACTAATAAGCTTAAAGTAACAATACACCAACTTTTTTGTAGATCAAATAACAGCTATGATGTTCATCTACACTATGGTGGTTGTGGCTGTACTAGCCTACGCTGAAGGCTACTCTGTGGGTGCTCCAGAAAGCGCTTGCAAGGATATGATTCCAAGGCATCCTGTACCGCCACAAAAATCAGCGGCACCCTACGTTATCACCACAAGTTCCACAGTAAGGAAGCAATGTGTTCATTTGTTTTAATAATAAATGATTTTTAATTATTATAGTGGAAATGTTTTATAAAACAAAATAAGTCACTTTTTAAATTAATTTTTTTTAAAGTTTACTTTAAGATACGTATGTATTGCAAGTACTCTACTCTCTTTATTACTAGGCGGTGAGAGCCGGCACCCCATTGGAGATCACAATTTCTGGTGTGAAGCCGTCAGATACAATACGAGGTCTGCTTATGCAAGCACGTAAAGGAGAGGAAATTGTGGGGACCTTCACCGTTGATCCCAACGATCCGTTCGCCCAACTGCTCAACTGTGGAACAGCAGGCGTAAGTAAAATCTTGAACAAATTTAATAAAATCCTATTATTTATCCATAAACTTATATAATATATTTTATGTGTAGTATGATCTACAAATTTTGTCTTTTAAGTGCGTTAGGTGCCGACTAAATGCAAATATAAAAGATGATATTACCTTGTTAGTAGCAAAGTATTCAATTGTTACTAAAATATATAAGTTCATAAGAAATTATATATAAAACATTATATTTATATAAATTAACATAAAATTTTAAGTAACATACGATGAGCAACGTTGTTCACCTTGTGATTTACTTAATACTCAAGTTATCTTAAATTTGTTTTAACTTTTTGACCCTGACATTATTTTAAAGTAACTTCATTAAGGAGGTTGTCAATTCAACGGTATTTTAATTTTTAATTCATATAAACAAAGTACTTATCTCAGGGGCTTTGCGCTAGCAGATTTTTTTAAATGCTTATAATGGACGCTGACCCTGTGACCAATGGCCACTTGAAGAGTATATTATATTACTAATTCTGTTATTAAAAAAACCTTAACTTTATTATGCATATATCTAAATATTTTTGAATATCTTCACGTGGTAGAGCCATTCTGCAGCTATTTTTATTATTCAGTAGTATAGTTTTTTTTTTATAGGAGATAGTGCAAACGAGAATACGGCTCACCTGATGGTAAATGAACAACTGCAACACTAGAGGAATTGCAGATGCGTTGCCGGCCTTTTAAAAAGGAGTAGGCTCTTTTATTGAAGGTCCCTAAGCACGAATGGGCCGGCTCGACCGGGGAAGGAACAAACTCTCACAGAATACCAGCGTGAAATAGTAGCTTAACGCTGCTGTGTTTCGAATTGTGTGTGTAGAGAACCGGAGACCCTCCTTACTGGTAAAGAGGCATTCTATCTTAGTCCTCACGGGTGACAACGCATTTGCATTTTGATTTGTATTCGGGAACAGATGTAGATGTCCATGGGCTATAGCAACCACTGACCATCAGGTGGACTGTTTGCTCGTTTGTCACCATTATACTATAAAAAAATCATACTAGCTCGTTGCAGTGCACTTGCTTTTCTCTCTGTTTCGTCCAAGTGTCAATTACCAATAAAAATTTTACAAACTCTTTCGCGTCAGAGCTTACTATTGTCATTATTTGGACACAATGCCTTCTTATAATCAAAGCAAGAGAATAAAAAAATACTAAGAAATCTATTTTCGTAAAAAACCTTCACGTTCTGTTGGTTTTTGGCTATGGGAGCGTTTGTTTGAATTTGTTAAAGATCTCAATTTTTTACATTTGCCGGACGTGAACCTGCTTTTTGTAAAGCTGGAATTGTAAACTTCCCAAGTAATATTCTTTATTTTCATTGGTATTGAATTCGCATAGTTTTTCACGTAATTAACTTCAAGCCTACGGGAGCTAATATAAGACATATTATGTTAAGTACAAGATCTTTAGCAAAGTTTGCATGAAAAATACATATTGTAATAAGATGCATAGCGCAAAGCGGTGAACGTAGAAGCGTAGAAATAGGGGCAATAGAGTCCTTTCATTACGCAGGCATCTACTAAGAAAGGATTTTGTAATATTTATCCCCTAAGAGGGCGAAATAGAGTGTAACAGTTTGTAAGAATGTTTTTATTTTACGTGGCAATTGACTTGAAACTAACTGAAAATTAGAGATGGGCCGAATATTGGTTTTATATTCAGCGTATTCGCCAGCTTTAGCGAATATTCGTATTCGGCCGAATATTCGGCTAAACCACCGAAAATTCGTTAAAGTGGAATTCAAAATTTCCACTGTATTGAAATGTACGAATTGAGTAATGCCATGTTTTTTGTAATTTTACTGTTGAAAGTATATTTTATTTATGACTTAAATCTACTTGTATAGCGTTATGTTTTTAAGGCACTGTAGATTTATTTCCAACTATAGCAAATAGAAAGCTTAATAAAATGTTTTTGAAATCAAACAAAGAAACATTAAATTACATTAGTAAATTTTGCTTTACTTTGATCGTCTATTTCTTTAAAATAATTCTAAATAGTAGATCTCCTGCCACTCATTTTTATCGTATTATTATCAATTTTGACTAAGAATACGAAATACATTTTTTCTCTTTAAAATAGTCAAAACATAAGCATGTGCTGACAATTTGCTCAGTACTAGATGATGCAATTATATGTCAGGTGTGACGGAAAAACGGTGGGCAGGGTCCTGCGCTAATCCTTCGTGCCTTTTGGTAACAAGTCTATATAAATTGGTTAGATACCGAGGTGATCCTGCCGAATAAAGTTCGGCCGAATATTCGTATTCGGTGAAGTCGATATTCGGCCCATCTCTACTAAAAATTCTCTGTAAATAAAATAAATTAAAAGTTTGAAAAATCCAAAAGTGCATGCAAGTGGAAGGTCATCATCTATCGGGGCCCATGCGGTTTTTCTTTCGTTTTCGATGGGTAATAAATTTTCTTACGTCGCCATCACAGGAAAATATATATAATGTGAATAGTGTCCATTAGTAGTAAATATTACTAACGACAACAAATAAAGCCGCAAGTATGCAACATACAGAGACTGTGCGATATACCTAATCGAATGAAGTTTGGAATATTCATATCAATACTTTAGTTATAAAGTAAAAGATTCAAAAACTAATCATTCAAGTGTTTCTTCTCATTTTACTGGATTGGAAGAATGTAGTTCATTTGTGCCTATGCTAACCACTGAAATGTGTTGATAAGAAAATTAAACATCTCTTTTTAGTTCTTCCAAGTGGGCTTGTACATATACTTTTTTAAATCTACTTTCTTTTGATAATGTCGTGTAAATACTACCATAAAATTTCTTTGTCGATTAGAGATGGATATTTTTTAAAATATTATCACGGAATGTTTCCGTGGTAATATCGAATTTATTGACTTTATTAAATCTAATAAAGTCAATAAATTCGATACACAATTAACGAAGATACAAAAAAACGTACAATCGAATTGAGAACCCCTTTGTTGATGTCGGTTAAAACTAATAATAATCAGTCACAAATCGATAAAAATAGTATAAATTAATTTGTTAAATTTATTCATGGCATTCAACAACAACTCAACTCAACAACACAAATTAAAATATAAAACACATCGAAGTCACGGTCAATTCTGTGACTTTGAATGCTATTAAAACTGAATATAAGTAAAACCAGTAGAAATTTTAAAGCTTGAGCAAGGTCTTGGTTACGTAAAAGGCAAAGGACATAATAAATTGACTTTTGAGACAAATTAGAAAGAAACAATGTGTGGAAACAAAGATGCGTTGAGCTTCGACTAAATTGTTTTGCAATATTTTCAGTAGGCAGCACCCACTAAATGCTATCATTAATCATTCAAGTAGAGACATATAATTTAATGTAACTTCTTGTACCGAACTATGAAATAGACGAACGACCTTGAGTGTTGTAATTGGCAACAAGAAGGAATGCAATGCAAATCTAACATATACCCATCACGCATACTAAATAACTTATTTGATTAAAACTACTTTTACGGATTTTATCGCGTTTATTTTTACTTTTTATTTACTTTTATTTTTAATTCCCGACGTTTCCGACGTTCCCGACGACCGCGTAAAAGAACATATAGCTGATTCAATTAGGACCCGCGTAAAAGAACATATAGCTGATGTGAAGCATCAACGTTCCGGGAAGTCTGCAGTTTGTGATCATATCCTAGACGGACCCAACCATTACATCAGATTTGATAGACCACAAATCCTCGCGAAAGAACACCGATTCCTACCAAGGATGATACGTGAGGCCATTGAAATTAAAAAACATCCTAATTTCAATAGAGAAGGAGGCTGGGTACTACCACCTGCTTGGGATCCTATAATCAATAAAATTAAAACTAAACCCAAGCATACCACTGCAAGACCTCAGGACATAGTTAGTTCATTTTGCATAGATCGGACCATAAACAATAATTAAAAAAGCTGATAGGTACTCCGGGTTTAACAATGACATCGGGACGTCAGTCATCTCAGTCCCCCGTGACCATGGGTGCTGGAAAGCGCCCGAAACGTCGGGGATTAAAAATAAAAGTAAATAAAAAGTAAAAATAAACGCGATAAAATCCGTAAAAGTAGTTTTAATCATGTATAGTGTTCGCGTAAATATAAGAAATCATTATAAATAACTTATTATCATAAATATTTAACATAATTTATACTCCGTAATTAAAAAAGTGTTGTAAGCATTTTAAAATATTTTATCATAATATTTAAACTAAGTATAATAGGCACAATCTAAATCTCCCTTAATGCGTGGTAGAACCACGCTGCAGCTATATTATAGTTGTAGCATGAATGAGTCGGCCCGTACGGGGAAGTAATAAACGTAATGCTGCTGTGTTTCGTATGGTTAATCTAGAGAACCGGAGACCCGTTTTACTGGAATCGAGGAATTGTGTGACAACGCATTTGTATTTTGATTCTTAATCGAGGATAGATGTAGATGTCTATGGGCCACAGCATCCACTTACCATCAGATGGACTGTGTGCTCGTTTGTCACCCTTATCCCATAAAAAATTGGTTGACCCTGCAGGCCATCCCTGGAACTTCCCACTAATTTCCAATACAAAGCGCTCCAAATTTCACCCAATTATGACGTTGAATATGAAATATCGAAATAATTTAAAAAAATCAATTTTTATTTAAAAAATTTCGTTAGCAATATCTCACAAACGAATCAACCGATTTTGAGCGGACCAGCGGCGATCGACGTGGTTTTTCAAAATTGGATTCGATCGGTAAAGCCGTTTAAAAGTTATTCCAAAAGAACAGTTTTCAAAATGTTTATTTTTGAGATTTCTCAAAATCTACCGGTCCGAATTAGTTAAAATTAATTTAAGCTTGATGAAACAATTTGGAAGTCCGCTTAGTTCATTTCAATCGGTCAAGCCGTTCAAAAGTACACACACACACATACAGACATACAGACACTATTGAAAAATTGTCAATGTGGCTTCCTGTGACCTCAAAACGTCAAGATTTTATGAAAACTCAATTCTCGAAAAACGGGGTAAAAACAATAACTCTGTAATCTAAGAGAAAGGCCGAGGGTCAACTTAAATAAATCCACGAATGTAAATACACGAAACTACAAACAATGCCAATTGCGCATGATAAGTTGAATGAAGTTACCAAGTTATCAAGTTAATGTCCTTCAGAACAGGCAATGATCAATGACCATACAGCCTATTCAGTCGTGTCAGATAATATTAAATTTTTTTTAGTTTAACAATATAGCCTATTCAATCGTTTTCCTAAATATATTTCTTTTATGCTGTATTAATCTGTTTCAATATTATGATTTTTTAGTAATTAAGACTATTTTATTATAACAATAGCGTTCATTGTCTATTGCCATAGACAAAATACAGAAAAATAAAATGTGGTGGTTTCGGTAGGAACTTGACCATCGACGGATTGTTGCTACTGTTTTATCGTTTAAATAATGGCTTGTAATGAATTTTGATTCATGAAAGTGATGCCATTTTATGTATTAAGTGTCTGCGCACTTGAACTGTTAGAGAAAATGACGAAACAAGCGCATGTGCTTTCAAGTTCTTAATTTTTTTTTGCGCCCGAAGCAATTAAAGGGCTACCCTTTATGTAGGGAGGCGGAAAATGCATTACGCATACCACGATAGCCGGTCTATCGTGGTTATGAGGGACTCACTGCCTACCGGGGGAACCTAAGTGTTACATTCTAAAAACCGCCTTTGGGGACTGGCAACTGGCTGTTTAAGCTTCTTATGCCGTATCGGGAGCGACCCTCTTTTGGGAAAAGAGGGTGCAGTCTTTCAATTCAGTCTTCAAGTTCTTAAGTTCTCAGAAGTCTTAAGAACTTGATTGGCTTTCGTCATCGACTGTCCGTTCGTTAAGTTGACGTCTAAATCTCCCAAAAACTTTGCAAGGTGACGCATTAGTGTACTGTGAATAAAAATCATAACAACGAAGATCCTGAATGAAAATAAAGACATGGCTTTAAAGATAAGCGTCCATGCCAAAATTCTTAATTTAAAACGTTTCGTTTTTGCTATAGTAAAAGCATTATCTTTCGTTTTTCAATTTAAAAAAAATGTTTTATGATTGTCCCAAGTACAACAGATATAAAAACCATTTAATTATTCTTATAATATTTCGTTTTATTACCTACATATTTTTGCATAACCGTTCAGAACGATGTCAAGCACCCAATTTCGTATTTTTATATATATATATATATTTTTTTTTATATATATATATATATATATACCTTAATTACCTACCTATAATTTACCACGTGCTCGGCGGTGAAGGAAAACATCGTGGGGAAACCTGCATGTCTGAGGAATAAGAAAAAAAAAATATTTCGAAGACATGTGAAGTTCGTCAACACGCATTTGGGCAGCGCGGCGGACACTTCCTTGTCCTAAAACCCTCTCAGAAATGAGGGGAGGCCTGGAGCCCAGCAATGGGACGTATATAGGCTGTAACTTTACTTTATATATATATATATATATATACAAGGTGTCTCAAAAGTAAGTTCACATTTGCTTATCTTATTACGCGAAAGCAACTATTCTGAGGGGCGCGGGGGGTATGTCAGTCGGTAGTCTGGCTCTTGGGAATTTAGTCGCTATGGAGCGTTTCTCTGGTGCGGACCGTGCGTTGTGCGTACGTGAGTTTTACAAAAACGGTAATTCGGCGACTGTAGCGCGTAGAAAATTCTGCAGTATTCGACATATTCGTCACTTAAATGATGCGCCTAGCACTCGTCTCATTGCAAAATGGGTTGAGAAGTTTGAAGAGACTGGGTCAACTCTGGAGAAACCAAAATCTGGGCGACCAAGAACATCAAGAACAGCCGAAAACGTGGACAGTGTTACTCAGTCTATTCGAGATGATCCAAACCTCTCGATTCGGAAGCGTGCTGTTGCTTTAAATGTGCACAGATCTTCATTATGCCGCATTTTACACAAAGATTTAAAGCTGCACCCGTACAAAATTCAGTTAGTGCAAGAACTGAAGCCTCAAGATGCTGGTCAGAGGCTTGCCTTTGTAAATCAGATGATTGAGCGCTTTCCAACGTTCACCAACATCTTGTTTTCCGATGAAGCCCATTTTCACCTGAATGGGCATGTAAACAAGCAAAATTGTCGTTACTGGAGTGCAACCAACCCAAAACAAAAACATCAGAAACCGCTACATTCACCCAAAGTCACCGTATGGGCAGCGATGTCGGCGCGAGGAATTATCGGCCCTTACTTTTTTGAAGATGGAAGGGGACGCACACTCACAGTGAATTCAGAGCGTTATGTGGAGATGTTAGACGAGTTTTTCGTACCCCAACTGCAAAACTTTCCTGGTTACAACCAAAGAACATGGTTCCAGCAGGATGGAGCAACTTCACACACGTCCAACAGATCTCTGCCTCGATTTCGAGAAATTTTTCCGAAGAAATTAATCTCCTGGCGAGGTGACATAAATTGGCCTCCACGGAGTCCCGATTTAACGCCTATGGATTTTTTCCTGTGGGGTTATGTCAAATCAAAAGTTTACGCTAATAAACCGACTTCCCTGGCACAATTAAAAGAAAATATCCGTCATGAAATGGCAGCCATCACGGAGACTACCTGCCGAGCTGTCATAGGCAATTTTAGTGCCCGACTAAATGAATGCCGAGAGCGCAACGGTTTACATTTGGACAATGTTATTTTTAAAAAATAAATTCCCAAACAGTGTACTTCAATATAAAATAAACATTTTTTCAATAAAGCTAAGACTTTTCTTTTAAAAAAAGATTTAAATGTGAACTTTCTTTTGAGACACCTTGTATATATATATATATATATATATATATCGTTTATTATACTCAGGTATTAGGAAACTATAGAAGATTAGAAAATTTGTGGATTAACTTTTGTTTTCTTTTATTTTAGAATGCTATTACTCACAAGAAGCATGATCCCAAGTTCGATAAGCAATCTGCCACATTCACCTGGACTCCATCTGAAAACTTAAGTGGAGAAGTTAAATTTAGGTAAAGTATAACATGAATAAATGAATAACCTTACTTTTAATCCTATATAACCATGACGACTGGTTTCGATGATGTTGGTAGGTACTATTAGCCTTTTTGCTTTTACAGCTTCATCGGTCTCAGGGCTCGCGGTCTGAGGGCCACAAGCTTAATGATATTTACATCGTTACTTACGTAACGATGTTCGCCTACGTCAGTTGAAATACACGTAAATCTAACAGCTGTCCGAACAGGGAGTGGCTCTGACGGCTAACTCGTGTCATTCGATGTTCTGAGCGTTGAGAACCGCCCAGCGACGCAGGTGTATGGTGTGTGCGCGGTGTGGATGGGTGCGCAGCGCGACCGTCTGCGGTCTTGCTGCATCCCATCCGATCACAAAAATCTAAATAATAAGGTACTTATTTAGATTTCTGTGTATCCGACGTACGGATGTACTAATTGTGTTTGTTACACTAGGTGAGTGTGTAGTGTTCGTGTGTGACAGGGGGTTCAATTAAAACGTTACGGGGCCTCCGGAGACTTTCCGTAACGTTTGTAGTCGGGGCATAGGTATAACAACGAACGTAAAAACAATATAACGAAAGTTATTAGAGAATCCATTGGGTTAGGTCCACTAGGGTATCGTAAGATTCGATAACGGGATATGCCAAGAAGATCTTATGGCTTCCGAACTATTACATTACTACTTTTTTTTATAGGAGAGGGGACAAACGAGCACACGGCTCACCTGATGGTAACTGATTACTGTCGCCAATGAACAGCTGCAACAGCAAACAGGGATTGCAGATGCGTTGCCGGCCTTTTAAAAAGGAGTAGGTTCTTTTATTGAAGGTCCCTAAGCACGAATGATCGTATCGTAAGTCGTAAGTCTCTGGTGGTAGTTGATTCCACGAGGAAGTTGTGCGAGGAAGAAAACTTCTTTTAAATCAATCAGATCAGATGATCAATCAGATGGTATGGATGGTATCGCGAGTTTTGTCGCGATGTGCGACGGTGAAATTGTGCGGCTGGAATTAGTCCGAACAATTCCTCAGAGCACTCCCCGTAGTAGATGCGATAAAATAAGCAAAGAGATGCAACATCTCTTCGCAGTGCCAGTGAGTCAAGCCGATCGGAAAGAGCTCGGTCGCCGACGATTCGAACTGCTCTGCGCTGGATACGGTCAAATGGAAGGAGCTGGCACTGGGGAGTCCCGGCCCAGAGATGGGAACAGTATTCCATGTGCGGCCGAACCTGCGCCTTGTAAAGTTGCAGGCGGTGAGCCGGCATGAAATACTGTCCCGCTCTGCTGAACACGCCAAGCTTTTTGGAGGCCAATTTGGCCTTTTCTTCCAAGTGACCACGAAACTGCACGTCACTCGATATGTCGACGCCTAGGATACCAATACTGGCTGAGGTAACAGGTGAGTGTCTTGAAATTAAGGAGATACGACGAAGGGGTTCTTTTTAGCGGTAAACGCGCAAACTTGTGTCTTCTGGGGATTAAACTGGACTAGATTTAGTCGCCCCTAGTCCGAGATTTTGTTGAACAAAGTCTCGACAACAGACACAAGTTTGTCCTGGTACTCGGCGACGTTTTCCCGAGAAATATTGCCACGGCCGGTGTATAAAGCATCATCACGTTAGGACCGAGGCCAACTCTGGAGCACACGTCTTCAGCACAATAGGAGGGACGCCGTCAGGCCCACTCGACTTGTTGATGTCCAGGGAGAGAACGCACCGAGCGTTGGGTAAACAGCACATCCTGCTTACTTACACTGCGGGATGGTCGGCAGTGTGTTCCCCCCGTCATCAAGAGTCGAGTTGGACATAGAGAGAGCCCAGTAGATCGGCTTTGTCCTTTACGGCATGGGCCAGTGAGTCAACTTCCTTGTGCAGAGATGGAAGAGATGGCTGGCAGAAGTTCCCTTGGACAGCTTTGGCGAGAGGCTAGAATTCACGTGTTCCCGAAGGAAGACGAAAAAGTTTCTCGTCAATTCTGCCGATGTGCTCTGACTTTGCCTTGACAATGACGCTTTTGAAGGACCTGGAAGCAGAATTATACTTCTTTTTAGGAATGCTGATATTTACATCCCTAGACGTCGATGCGCGAGCCCAGGCCTGGTAACACTCCTGCCTATGATGTAATGCAGTTTTGCAGGAGCAACCAAACCAAGGCTGGATTCTGCCTCCGATAGGATGGCGATGGAATAAATAGTTGCTTTTTCCATTCCCTGTAGCACCACATAAGCGACAAAATCAGCAACAACACTGGGATCATCCTTTTTTTTATTTTTTAATAAAAAAAAAAAAAAAAAAAAATTAAAAAATGGCGAGAAGCAAACACGCCTCCAAGGGTAGGATGCAAAATATCACATTCCGTCCCAATCGGCTGACCTATAATGCCAAACACGGCGGCAACCTGCTGTACGCAACCGCGATGGGAGCGTGAGTGCCAAGAGGGGCATCAACGATGAGCTGGTATCCGTCCGGATGATAGGTCAGCAGAAGGTCCAACAGGGAAGTTAGTTACATGATCTTTCACATCTGGAATCCACGTAGGCGAGGTAACCACTTGTGTCAGACCATATGCCAAAGCAAAGTCATAAACAGATCTACCCGCATTATCTGTTAAACGAGAACCAGGCCATTCAGCATAGTGGGCGTTAAATCACCATGTATCACGATCTCTCCGGATGGGACCTGTTGTAGCACGGAGTCTGCAGCCAACTGGACGCGGTCCATCAGTCGGTCTGTGTCGACATTACCGCTGTGGGACCTGTATAGGCACCCGTAGACGCGTGGATGGTCGTCGCTATCTACGCGTAGCCATAAGATGGACAGGTCCGACCTTCAAGACTGCCGGGGCGTCGAAAACAGATGTCCTTGCTCCGTTTGCCCCGAGCAGGTTTAGTCGCGAGCGGAATTTCGTCCCCCTCAAAATACGAGGGCCAGCCTGAGCACCCACGCTCAGGAAGAGTAAATATTACTCTAGGTAGGTAGGTAGTAGGGGAGTTTGGGCGTGGATGTTCAGCGAGGGATTCTCCGTCACCGGGGGTGCTGGTACCCTCCTGGGGTAGTCTTATATTTAACTCCGCTACCATGTTAAGGGGGGGGGGAATTAGGCTTCCGACAACCTGCACTCACCAGACGAAGTGCAGAAGCAAAGATTCTACTTCACGCCGGTCTTCTGTGAGGTCGTGGTACCACCCCGGTTTGAGCCGAAATACCTAATTTTAATGCTATATAGCCGAGAAGTGTTTACAAAATTTCCGTGCCATGAAAGTACTTGTATAAATAAACTGTTTTCTTCTGCTAGGATTGTCAATGTATTTCATGTAGTACTTAGGTACTTGTATGTTGTTAGGATCAGTACAAACAAAAACAAAATAATAACAAAATATTGATTTCTATTTACATGAATATGCATTATATTAAATAAAACGTGATAAAATTCGTAATATTGGTTTTATTCAATAACAAAATGCATGTCAGTTGTAGGTATATAATTTAGGTACTGAGATTTTTGCCAAGGTAAAGACCTTAATAGCACATAGCACCTTATTTGTAATATCCAAACTATTTTGTTTGTTTTTTCTCTCCCAATGATTTTGGTATTAACCTACACCGCTGGTTGCGATATTTGGAGGTTATTTCTAAGTAGGTACCTAGATGTATTATTTAAAAGATCAAGATTTTTATCATTCAATTATGCCATGTAGGTATGTAGTAACAATAGCGCATTAGTTTTAATTGTAGCGCACTTGTGTATTGTCTTGAATAATATAAATGAATTAGGTACCTACTTCATTGTTTCACGAAACAAATAGTATATATATATATATATATATATATATAAATTTTTAGTTTGGAATACTATGCATTTATTCAATAGGTATCCAAGGAAACCTAATACACCATAACCTGGTACACTCGACAAATAAAACGATTTAAGCCTCATTTACATTCAGCCCCTGCCACTACTCCTCGCGCTGCCGGCCATACTTCGCTAAATACTGCCGTAGCAGAATCGAGATACATTCTGCCCTACCACTCACATCACTTTCGACTTTCGACTAAAATTGTAAAGTACTTACACGAAAAACCGACAATTGAGGGAGCCTCGAGCAGTGGCAGCGGCACCGGCAGTGACAGCGCGAGTAGCCTATTTACATACTGCCCTGCCCACTTCCCTGCCCAAAAAGGCTGAATGTAAATGGGGCATAAGAATTTACAAAACTATTCTATGCCTATTGCTAATATTTATATATATAATTTATCTATCTATCTATCTTCTTTTGAATTTGATATCTTTTTGAATTATTAACATAATTTTGTATTACAAGAAGACGCAGCGCGGAAGCTGTAATCATCTCGATGTCTGCCATAGTCGAAAGTCGAAAGTGATGTGAGTAGTAGGGCAGAATGTAAATACACACTTCTCTCGATCCTGCTACAGCAGTATTTAGCGAAGTATGGTCGGCAGCGCGAGTAGTGGCAGGCAACAATGTAAATGAGGCTTATGTCGATTTTGTTGCGTTGTAATCATTGAGTTATATAAATCAATGGTTGTAATAGTTTATGATTGAATCTGAAGAAAGAAACAGATAAAAGAATATAATTAGACACATGGTGAATGACAACATAAAAAATCATTTTAAATTAATAACAAACCAAGCCTGTAATCAAACAGTTAGCGAATACTATAAAGTATTATTGTATTATATATGCGACATTGTTGCATTGTATATGCGTACATACATTATTTAATAATTAGAAAAGAATAGAATTTTACTTTTTGAGTAATGGGTGATATTTCACAATTTCAGAGCAACCGTCGCACTCAACGGAGCTATCTTCTGGGTGGGTGTTGAGTCTGCTCCCGTCACAATCACTCATTAACTTGCCTATTTGTGAATTTTATTACTAAATTATGTTTTAAAATACATTAGAAACGTAAGAATTATATTTTTTGTATGAAAGCAATCTTTTTTTGTGCATACCTTATTCTCCTTAGTTTTTTTTTAAATATGAGCAAGAAAAAAATATCTATCCTAAACACCTTACAATAGGAAAGTAATTTCTTTGTCCTTTAGTGGCAGCACATGAAAACATCATCAAAAAATCATCCCGTTTACGTCAGACAGATCCAAATCGACAACGGAAAATAGCCTCTAATTTACCTACAAAATGTTTTGAACCTGTATTAGTACATACTGTGATCTCAAATTCGGCCTGTAAACCGTGATGATTATGGCCAAGCTTATTCATATGGACATCAAAAGAGATTGTCATGTCAAAAAAAATAAATTCAGAAGAAAAATGATTAATAACGCTTCTACTTATCTTGACACGTACTCAGGCTCACACCTTACCTCTTTTTTTTTATCAGCCCCCAAAAATTGATTGCTGGATGGCCGCACAACGATGTTGGTTGCGAATGATTTAATATGCATATTGCATATGTGTACGTAAGTGCGTCTTGGCTTGACTTGCGTCACTTGAACTGTATGCAGCGCTTGTCTTTCTTTCTTTGTTGGTCTGAGATTATGGATGCATCATGTGACAATGGAATCGCCGAACCTTTTCTACAAAATCCGATGCCAAATATAACAAATAAATATTTGGCAGCTCTATAATGTAGTAGCTTAGCAATGAGCTTCAACGCTGAGGGCCAAGGGTTCGATCTCGCACGGAACAAGTATTTGTAATTGTACAATTGTTTCAATAATTGTACCGAGTCCGGATGTTTGTTCTTGTACAATTTATGTATATAAACTGCCCCCACGATACAGGAGAAAATCCGAGTTGAGGTTATGTTTATAAAAAAAGCATGCATTTTTAATACGTGGTAGTCCACGCTGCAGTGTATTATGGGTGCATCACAAATTGGTCGGCTTGGCCGGGGAAGGACCACGCATGCACAGAATACCAGCGTGAAATAGCAGCATAGTGGTGATTCGCGAAAACTGGATATTCTTCTTTATTAGTAACGAGACATTCCTATCCTAGTAGGGGTTACAATGCGTCCGACGCATCGAATTACGAGATATGAGGTATTTTAAATTTGTTCCTCAATACAAAAGCGTAGCAAGAGGGAGATTAAGAGATATTTTTACATAGTAGAGCCACGCTGCAGCTATATTATAGTTGTATGTAGCACGAATGGGTCGGCTCGACCGGGGCAGGAACACGCTCTCACAGAATAATAGCGTAAAATAGCAGCATAGAGCTGCTGTGTTTCGTTTGGTGAGTGTAGAGAACCGGAGACCCTTTTTACTGGAATCATGGTGTCAACGCATTTGCATTTTGATTCTTAATTGAGGATAAATGTCAAAAAAAATCTATGGACCACAGCATCCACTTACCATCAGGTGGACTATGTGCTGTTTTGTCATCCAATGCTATAAAAAAATTATGTCTCAAGCAGATTATTCCATTAAATATAAGTACAAGGTTATTTTCAGTCGTCAAGAAAAGAATATATATAGTATATAATAGGATAAATACTGTCATTGCGTTTTTTGAAAATATGAGAAAATTAAAAGATGTTTGAGATTTTAATTTAATAAATTTTTCTTCACCGTTTGCCTATATTACTTATTCTGAACCTTCTCTGTAAATTAGGTCCGTTATTGCAAAATAATCCTGTATACACTGCGGCTTCATTTGTCTATGAGTTTAAAGAATTTATTTATAATACTGTTTCCGTTGCAATGGTAAGAGAACACCCTATCAGACTTCATCTTAGTCGTCTGGTGGAGCGAAATTTGTGGCCGGCCCTCTTTGTAGGAAATTGGTTGCCGGATGCCCAATGTTATTTCCCCAATAATATTTGTCCATCCATAGGTTATTTTTAGGTCTAGGAGCACCACCAAAATACCATCCTATCCCACCGATGGTAAATGGTGATGTAACCGAATATGGTAAAACGCAGTGCCTTAGCGAGACTAAAGCCTCTTCACTCTTGCGTTGGAGACATCCAGATTATAATCAACATATATGTATTAATGATAATATAACATTCATTGTGCTGATGACATGATGCTGCCCCTCTATATTTATAGTTGCAAGTAAATTCTCAGCAGTTGGGAGTACGTGAAATGATAGACGAAACATAAATTTAATTTTTCTTTATTTGAAATGTAGCACCTAGAAAATTTGTTTCTGAGATCTTCTCATAAAAATCACATCAAAAAAGAATGGATAGTTTAGGAACCAGCACTTATGTACTTATATATAATATTAAAATTTTTAATCAAGCCAATGTTGTTTTCATTCCATGTCCGAAATCAAATTTATATTTAGTTCTAATATACAAAACAATTATGTTTCATTAATTACATAAATTGGCAGTTATCGAAACTATCCATTTTAAGACGGAATGAACTAAGTCTATCAACAGTGACTTACATCTTAATCCATAGATCTATAATATTGCGGCAAGAAAGAATACATTTATACTGAAGTAAAAGTTAAACAAGTGGCAAAATTAAAAAATTGTACAACCGACTTCAATATAAATAAGAACATAGTCTTTAATGTAGTCGAAGTCAATTAAACGCGCATTATTATACTATAACCCAAAAACTACTAGTCAGATCTTGATCAAATTTATATTGGACCACATGAGAAGCACCAACTTAGTAAATAAAAGAAGGATCATCAAAATCGGTTTATCTAGAAAAAAGTTGAGGTAACTAACACATAAAAAATTCAGTCGACTAGAGAACCTCTCCTTTTTCTGAAGTCGGATGAAAATATAATAATAATAAATTTGTAACTAAATTTAAATTAAGTTAAAATAATTAAAATGAAAATAATCAGTCAGGATGAACATTTATAAAAATCTACCATATATGATTTATATATTACTTCACAAAGTCTTTACAAGAAAATGATACAATGGGTATGGAAGATGAAGTGATATAATATTACCTATTAAATATGAGCATTATCAATTAAATACTGTATAAATGTATAGAAACCCCTAATGTGTAATTTAGTACAATTCCTTCATTATAGTCGTCAAAAAGATATTGTTTAGTCTACACATTGAAGTACAATAAAATCTAGTGTGGGATATATGGGCGCTTCCATGGTGCACTGTTGTTGCCAGAATATAAACATTTAAGATAAACAAATGAGTTTTAACGTACCGAAATAATGTATAAATTAGTTAAAATTATAGATTTTATACCAAATATTTCTTTGAGATCGTTTATCGCGATGAATTTGCAAGCTGCTGAAAAAAGTGCACCACAAACTAAACAAGAATATAAAAAACGATATTTAGCTAAAATCAAAAATGAAAATTTGTTTAATTACTAATGATCTTGATAACTTGTAACTTCTTACGTTTTTCTATTTATGATTATTTTTTCGGCATTTATTTATTTAGCTAACATTTATTTCACACAGGTTTTTTAGCGTCTATTTTTAAGAACAAAAATGTTTATATAGGTTCCATAACCTGATCTCAACCTACTTTAGTCCGAAGTTACCCCTATTATATGATTAAATTCGAGAAAGGTGTAATCACAAAGGCAATCACATCCAGAATGTATTCCTAAAATAGAAACTTGTTTTTACACAAACACAAATACTTAGTAGTCAAACACTCTGACCATTAATAGGCCGATATATCTCCGATAAAATATATACATAATACACATGTTATGTATTTATTTGTATACCATAAAGCATAGCAATATTTTTAGTACATTACATTACAGTTGTGCAATATGGGCTATAAAATATAGCCATAGTGTACCCGTCTGTTACCGATGGTTTAATCAGATAGTTATATGATGAAGGATGGTTAGACCATTAGTTAAAACTAGTTCTTTCAACTGAAGGCCCAGCATTTTATTCGAATTACAATGACATTATGATAATTATTCGCATTTGGACGTGCGAAACCAACGGATATTATTGCTCAATCAAGGTCCATCAAAATGGTTAAAATTTAAAAAATTATTTTTATGATACAGTAGACCTTACCGCTGTTTCAAGATGGTGTAATTTTACGCAGTCTATGCCTGTGCCAAGAAAAAACGGATTGGCTAACCATATACATCAGCAGTTGCCCAAGACATCTGCTGTCAGGAACAACTGCTGTTAGTATGAAGTGTTCAGCCAAGTATTGCCACATTAACAATTTGAGTCTTAATTTAAGCAGTTAACTTTAGACGGGCAGTAATGAAAAATTACTTCTTACTTAGCATTTTAAAATAATGTTATCACATATTCATATTGCGAAAGCTTACTGTATTGCGGTCAAATGTAGCGTTTTTATTTTCCAATTTAAAAATACACCTTTTATACCGTTAATTTAACGTAAAACTATTAGTATTAAATAAGTACTTTATATGCATACATGAAAGTCAAGAGCACACTTGACAACTAAGATATGTTGTAACTTCATTGCGTCATAATTGAGTAAAAGGCAGAGTATCTACCTGAGTTACTACTTGGTACTCAAAAAATTCGCCATCATTATTTTTAAGCACTAACCCGCATAATTGTCGAATATTTGGTAGAAATTATATTTAGAAATGGATTAAATAAAGTGTAATGCAGCTTATAATTTAATTTTGAAATAATAGGAAATATCCTCATTCTTTCTTATAAGATAAATGTTTAATAACACTTAAACATTGTCATAATTAAATGAGTACATATCATTTTCTGTTACTCCCAAAATAATTCGAATTCGATATCGTTTTCAGGAGCACGAATTATGTCGACTTGAATCAAATTCAATCCTATCAAAATTTTAATCTGGCGAGAGTAGGCCAGCTGTTTCTTGTACACTTGATTCAAATATATGCTTTCTACAACTGCATACTATACAAGTCTTAACAATTTACCTTTCACATATTATTTAATATGGCATTCAG